GTTTGATTATATGAATGGCAGGGCAGGTGTGGACACCTAGTATGACAGCCAGGGCCTCCTGCAGCAAAGTGAGGAGCAATCATGGCAGATTCACCATTTGCCTAAGAGTTTAAACCTTTCTGGGATTTAACACACAAAACGAATATTAGCTCTGCTGGAATTTTCAGAAAGATCAGGTGAGAAGTCAATAATTTATAGAATAGAAATATTTTTCAAAGCTCCAGCAGTTCCATGCAACAGCATTCAAAGATAAGTTTGCTGTTTTATATGGAATTTCTTGCTTATTAAATATGTCATTTGGTGAACCTTAGAATATGTATCAGTTATAGTACATACTACAGGAGTACAGTCCCATCAATAAATGTTTTGCAAATGAAAATAACGAAGTTGTTACATAGCTCAGAACTCATAATAGGGACTTCATCAGGGAATCTGGATTGTTCTGATTATATTTATGACACCTAATACATTACTTATTGAAAATTTCATTTCTTCTATGCAAGACATAATATAAACAAATATATAAATATAGGTGCTACCCAGCAGAGTTATCTTTTATAATCTTGTATATGAACTCTCTCTTCCCTCCACTCCCAATTCTAGGCAACTTCAAATGTCCAAAGTTTCAGAAAATAATTCTGCATTTTATGAATAAGAAACAAATATATTTTCTCTAAAAAAAAATACAATGCAGAAAAAATTATGTTACTGACCACCACTCAGTCCTACCTCTCCATAGACTATTTATGTATACTTTCAGAACTTTCTATTTATGTACACAGTTTTATTTTATTTTAATTATCAAAGCTTTTATGTATCTTATTTTTTTTATTTTATTATTTTATTTTATTTTGAGTTGGCGTCTCATTCTGTTACCCAGGCTGGAGGGCAGTGGCACATTCCTGGTCACTGCAGCCTCGACCTGCTGGGCTCAGGCAATCCTTCCACCTCAGCCTTCCAAGTAGCTGGAACTACAGGCACATGCCACCATGCCTGGCTATATTTTTAAATTTTAGATTCAAGGGGTACTTGTGTAGGTTTGTTGCATGGGTATATTGCGTGATGGTGAGGTTTGAGCCTATCACCCAAATAGTGAGCATGATACTCAATGGGTAATTTTTCAACCCTTGCCCTCCTTGTTTTCTCCCCTTTTTTGAAGTCCCTAGTGTCTGTTGTTCCGTCGTTATACCCCAATGTACCCAGTGTTTATTTAGTTCCTAGTTATAAGTGAGAACGTGCAGTATTTGGTTTTCTGTTTCTGTGTTAATTCACTAATTCACTTCCAACTGTATCCATGTTTCTGCAAAGGACATGATTTCATTCTTTTTTTTAATAATTGTATAGTATTCCATGAGGTATATTCATATACATGGTTTTATATAGTTTTTTGTTTTTTTTTTAACATTCCTGGTGTCATACTCTGTTTTGTTCTGCAATTTGTCCTGGGATCTTTCTATGTTGGCATATTGTTTTTAACTGCAACACAGTATTCCATTCCATAGCTATGCTAGAATGTATTAACCATTCATGTAATAACTGACATTTATATCACTTTCCATTTTCCCACCATTATTAACATTTCCTGTAATGAACATCCCTATATATGCCTCTTTGTATTTCTCTAGAGAAGATATCAAAGGCTGGAATTACCCTGTTAAAGAATAAGGATGAGCCGGGCTCAGTGGCTCAGCCTGTAATCCCACGCCTTTGGGAGGCTGAGGTGGGTGGATTGCCTGAGCCCGCGGGTTTGAGACCCGCCTGGGCGGCGAGACCTCATCTCTACAATAAATCAAAAAATCAGTCGGGCATGGTAGTGCGTGCCTGTAATTCTAGCTACTTGGAAGGCTGAGGCGGAAGGATCGCCGGAGCCCAGCAGGTCGAGGCTGCGGTGGTCGGGAGTGGCCACTGCACTCCAGTCTGGGCGACGGAGTGAGACTCCAACTCAAAAAAAAAAAAAAAAAAAGAATAAGGATATTTTGTATTTTAAATAGATACTGTCAAATTATCCGTCAACATTTTAATACCACTTTAAACCCCTACCAGCAGTTATATTGCAAAGTTAAGGCTTTGGGTCCAGTGGAGCACCTGCTATTAAAATGGAAATTACTCTGGCAGGGGCTTAAAACCTGAAAATTTTAGGATTAGTTTTGCTGGAAACTGGGAAGAGGGCAGGTCCTTGGGACTTCCTGGGAAGCCAGAAAGTGACCCAAAGACACAAGACACTAAGAGGTGTAGGAGTCGGGTGGTCAAAAACATGATAACAGAGAGGTGCAAGATAACTTGCAACTGGGGAAGGGCTGGTGAAGCTGGAAAATCACCCATAGGCTCGACTTAGAGGGTATGGGGGAGGGGGATGTTTTGTATCCCTTTGTCCCTCATAGCGCCTACTCTATCCTGCCTAACCTACTCCTTTAATTTCTCCAAGAGCCTGACTTTAGGTGAACTTCTTGTTTTATGACTCTTCTTAGGCCATGTGTGTGTCAGCCTTAGGGGAAACTGATGGCAGGACAGAGATCTCAGCCTAAATCAGCTCTTGGCCAAATTCTTTCCTGATAGATAATGATCATTTCTAAGACCACAGAGGCAAAAGCAGAGCAAAACTACTCACCCCAGTCACATTCCTAGTGGTCATCTATTTCACATGTACATTTAATGAACAATCTGAAAAAGTTTACCTGTCTCAAAGCATTTTACAATCTTAGAATCCTGGACAAACATTTGTTTTGTTCCAGAGAAATTTGTTTACCTATTACAGAAAAAGAGGAAGAAGGAAAATTATTTCACAATCTGGTACATATGTTTTACTCTCTAATGTTTAATTCATTTAATGAGAGAGTTGAATTTGATAAATTGTCAGATAATTTTAAGAGAAGTCTACATTTTTCTACCAACTCGGCATCTTTTTTCTTCCTTCTCTCTCTCTTTTTTCCATATCATTAGTGCAACTGATTGTTCAGTCAAAGCTTCTTCTAAGGCAAGGGCTCCCAAGCTTTGCTGAACATCAGAATCACCTAGTGATCTTTTAAAAATCCCTATATCCAGTTATTGCGCCATATAAATTAAACAGAATGCCTGAGGATGGGAGCTAGGCATCAGTAGTTTAAACTAGTGATCTACTAAATAAGAGGAAAAAAAAATAGGAGTTTAGAAAAATCTAATTTCTGGGAGGTATAAGACAATGATACAGTTATTAATAAATATTTCAAATACTCTAAGTCTTTTCCTTTGATCAAAGATGTCTATGGTACAATAGACCTATTGAATAATAACTTTCAAAGTGAGATGCAATACTAATAAAATTTGCCAAATTGAGACTTTACGGTGGATATTTGGTTATCAAATTACTTACTGAGTACAGGCAGAACATAAACTAGAGTGCTTTCTTGATTATTCGTTAGAAGCTTGTACGTGGTTCAGTGATAGCATAGGCATGTTTATGAGCCTAAGGAAGGTCTCCTCAAGGAAATGTAGACAGACCCCTTAGTAACCATTAGGGAGCATGTAGGAGAGCCTCATTAAGGATTTAAAGGAATTAGAGTTATTTTTGAGCCTTGTGGGCAGGGAGAAGTAACCAGAGAGAACCTTATCTGCACCTGCATTTGTCTACCCATTTGTGCACTACATATTACTTTTACTGCTCATTCATACTTCTTTACTACTTTTTAAATTCTAGAGAATGCCACAAAACTTAAACTTCCTCTTCTCAGCTGCTTTGGGATTTGCTTACCATCCAGATAAAAGATCAAGCCTGTTTATTGCCTATTGCCAGACCTATAAGCCAAGTGAGTCAGTGCCTGTACCCTTCAAGAATGCATACAAACCCCAGAGCTGCTCTCTGCTGCAGAGTGGGGGAGGGGGCTGTTTGCCCTTCTTTCTCTGGGGAAGTAACTCATCCAAACTGCCTTCCTTGCTAAACTGCTTCATATAGCTTTGAGAAGGACCAAGTGAAATTGGTTTTTTCACTACATCTGAATGCACTGCAAGAGTGTTCTGCTGCTGTTCGTTTTTTAGTGTTTTCTTTCTTTCTTGTTGGGTCTTTAAAGAGCAATCGTTAATGCTCTTCCAACACACCGATTGGGTGTCTGCCGTCTTTGGAAGTCTTCAGTCTGGGGCAGTAGCTGTTTCCCCTTTTTCCTGCTAGCCCATCCTCCTCTCTGGACTGAAGTTACCTGCTAAGGCAATGGTATATGCTTTGACCCTTCCTGATCTAAAGGGAATAGAATTGCCTGACAGTTCTAGGGTAATCCTTTGGGAGAACTAGCCTTGGGCACTGTCCAGCTGAAGTTGTGTTTTGACAATGCATCTTGGTCTGTTGAGGTGAGTCTTCACAAAAGTCAAGCAAGCAACTGAAATACAGATTGTGTGATTTTTGCTGTATTTTTCTCTTACCCTTCTCTCTCTTGCGTGCGTTCTTATCTAATCTAGTTTATCAATTCTTTTGTGAACACTCCCTTTACCCTTCTTACTTTGCACTGTCACTGTAGTGGCACAATCTTAGTTTTCAAAATATACTTAAGGATACAAAGAGAGAACAAGTTTATCTCTAGAGAAACATAGTGTTTCAGCCTTATGACTTCTAAGTGTAGAATTGCACTTTAAGACTTGACTGTTTTGAATTTGATGCAGGACTAATCTGAACCTTTGACTTGGCCTATTTCTGTTTTTATTGTTGTTGTTGGATGGAGGCATTGCAAAAGCTTTAGTGTTTTTGAAGGTATGGTTGAACCTTGTTAAAAGAAAAATTTCTGAAGGAAACCATGTGGCTGATCATTCTGTGTAATTTTTTATCTTGTCTAGGTAGGTAGGTGTCTTTTTTATTTACCTAAGAATTGAACCCTTTGGCTTAAGAAGAACATTCCATAGTGAAGAATCTCATCAGCACCTAGTAGTCCCATGACTCACTTCACTTTGTGTCAGCTTTTATCATTGTTGACAAGCTTAGTGTGTCTTTCTGTCTGAACCTGCCTATAGATTGCTGCAATCTTTCCATTGTCTTTTAGGACTACCAACCAGACTCCCAGAAATCATGCTGGTAGGATCCCAGTCCTTTTCACCAGGAGGGCCCAATGGGATCATTAGAAGCCAGTCCTTTGCGGGTTTCAGCGGCCTTCAGGAAAGAAGATCCAGGCAAGTACTGTGTGGTTCTCCCCTGGGATGCAGCTTGAGAAGGAAGCAAGTTCTGATTCTCTGAAGGAGGGTCTCTGTGCATGCAGCCTCACCCAAACACGCACACATGCACACAAACGCTATTTTAATCTCTTTTTCATGGGAGGGATATACCAAAAATTAAGCGGTGTTGTTTGTTTTCTATCACTTAGAATTCCTCTTGCAAAGAAGGCGGCTATGGATTTAGGCTGAGCTAATGATACATGTATTGACCTTTCCCTATCCCCACCCCACCCATTTTTGAATCACATTTTCCATTAAATTCAGATTTGGGGGGTCATGTTGAGTATAAAATCATGCAGTGGATAAAGACTGTGCCTCTGCAGACTGATCCCAGGGTACGAATGTCATTCAGACAGGGGTTGTCAAAGTTAGTCTTCTAGTTTCCTTGGAATCTCCTCTCATCTAAAACAGGACTTAGAGGAACTTAAGAAAGAAAAACAGATAGTGAAGACCTGCAGTGAAGTTTGTCTTCAGTTTTTCTGAAATCATAAAGGTCTTACCCTCAGAGGGATCCTATGTGCTTTAATCTGTATTGTTCAATTTGGTGCACATGATGATGACAAAGGACTATAACTAATACCTAACCTGAGAGGGGTACAGCAGTCATCCACATGCCTTGGCACTCTTGGCTTTCCTGCTGATAGCTGGGTCAGTGAGTAGCCTGGCCCTGGATCTCCTAAGCAGATCAGTATTCTGGTCTTAGTTGTCAGGTGTCTATCTTTTCACTGCAAACTGCATTCCTGCCACTAACAGAGATGCTGAATTTTGATAAGCTATACTCAGTGACAATTTACTCTATGAAAATAAAGCTTTATAAAAAGCCATGTGTGCTTTTTTAAAACTTTAATGTCATATAGAATTAACCATTTGACATGCTGATGCCTCCTTATCAAAAAGGATTCATTCATACCCTGGTTGAATGTAAAACATCTACCCGATATTGTATAGCGCACTTTTTAAAAAAATTTTGGATTATATCCCTCTGCCTATTCAGAATGTTTACCTGGAATTGTTTGTCCCTGGCTTCCTATAATGTTTTAGTGGAGCAAAACATTTTCACTCAGAGTGCACATTACCTGAATCCAAACTGGGTAGCCTGTGTCCAACAAAGCTTTCAGACTTCAACAGTTAACAAATCTAATACTGAAACTAAATGTAGGTTGGCTCAGATCTGTTAAGATACAAGGGAACATTACCTTTGAAAAGAACACTAATATGAACACTATATTAGATGATTTAAAAGACATTTCTTTGGTTAAATCCTTTTGGATGCCCGAGACTCACGGTTTCTTCTGTTCTTTTTTTCTCTCCATAGGTGTAACTCATTCATTGAAAATTCCTCTGCTGTCAAGAAGCCTCAGGCCAAACTGAAGAAAATGCACAATTTAGGGCACAAAAACAACAACCCCCCAAAAGAACCTCAGCCTAAAAGGGTGGAAGAAGTCTACAGGGCCTTGAAAAATGGATTAGAGTAAGAACACTGAGCTTGATACTGCACTTTATGGAAGAATGGGAGAGTCAGAGAAAAGCTGGTCTCGGGGGATCATTTTTAAAATGTCTATTTTTGTAGGAGACATTTTATTCTTGTACCAACAATTAGGGAAGCTTTAAATGAGTCACAAAGATATAAAATGCATTGATTTCATATCATATCCATTACACTGAAGGATTTCACTTAAAAAATGGTGAACTGGCATACCCATTCTAGAGATGGCTGAAGAAGTGTTCTGAAACCTACCTGAGTATATTATAGGATTGTGTGCCCAAAATAAGACTTTTCTAGCATGCAATGAGACATCCCCAGCCAACGTTACATTTAACTAGATAGAATTCTGTGCACCCAGACCCAGGCTGACTCCATAGGCATCTTGCCCCTTCACTTCACTCCCCATTGTTTTTTCTTTTCTGGGCTTTAAGCCTCACAGGGGGTTCTCATTTTTGACCAGCTGGATAGTATCAGATGCAACTGCTAGAGCTATTAACATATTGAAAGACTGGGAAAATACAAGCCTCCTTTTCCCTTCCTAACAACAGAGCAAGGTTCAGATTCTTAATCCCCTTTGAGAAAAAAAAAAAAAAGGTCAGCAATAGCACCAGATTGCACATAACTGGCAGAGTTCATAATTATGTCTTGCCTTATCTTTACAGTGAATATCTGGAGGTTCACCAGACGGAGCTGGACAAGCTGACGGCTCAGTTAAAAGATATGAAAAGAAACTCTCGACTGGTAGGTACCATCCATTAGCATGTTAATACAGTGTTCTTTTTTTGGCTATCTTCTTTTACTGGTTGGGGCAGGAGAAAAAGCTTTAAGAAAAGTAGACCCAAGGTGCAAAATACTATCTGCATGCTGATGTGTATTGTATTAATGCTTTATTCTTAATAGTTTTCAGCGTTTTCCAAGCATGTTTATTATACAGATAAACTTTATAATCGGGAAAAAAAAAAATGTTTCAATGTCCTATACCCCTCTTGCCAATAATGTAAGAAAATGAAAAGTTGAAATTTTTCCTTTTTTTTGAGTTGGAGTCTCACTTTGTTGCCCAGGCTGGAGTGCAGTGGCATACTCATGGCCACCACAGCCTCAACCTGCTGGGCTCAGGCGATTCTTCCATCTTACCCTTCCAAGTTGCTAGAACTACAGGCATTCATCACCACACCCGGTTAATTTTTTGATTTATTGTAGAAAGGTGGTCTCACCACGTTGTCCAGGGTGGTCTTTAATCCACAGACTCAGGCAATCCTCTCACCTCCCTCTGCCAAAGTGCTGGGATTATAGGCGTGAGCCACCACACCTGGCCGACGAAAAGTTGAAGTTTTTCTAGCATATAGTTAGTACATGCAGAATTTGGAGCCAAGAACTTTTACTTTATCTCCAGTTTTTAAAAAATATATAAGAGGTCAATAAAATCAGAGAAGGAAAAAAAGACTCAAAGATGTCACCAATGTGAGAAGTTAAAAGAGTCTTTCAACCAGTTCTCTTACATATGTATGGCAAACTTTCTCTATTCTAATAAATTTCTGAGGACTTGTGTGGTTGAAGAGGTGGTTATAATATCTACACTATTTTAAATGATTTTTTTCAGTTCTAAGTGATCTTATACCTTAAAGTTTCAAGGCATCAGAAAGCCCAAGAAAAGTCTACATTTACCTTGGAGGTGCAGCTATACATTCATAGCTGTTATCTTTTAAAAGACATGCTAAAATGCTAAAATGTGTATATTGTTGTCCTTTTCAAAGGCTTGAAAATTAAAGGCTTTATCTAGATGAAAAGATTTTATATTTGACTGATGTTAAGATATAAATTGCCCCCATCCATGTGAAACTCCTTGTGGGATGGCCTTCAGAGCTTTTGAATGACCTTGACCATCCTTAATGGCTGGAAATGTTCCTCCCTGGAGAACAATGGTGAACAGACGTAGGGCTTCTGCCAAGACCTCATGTTCCATAAAAATCCTTCAGATGGGGGACGTGGGGATGGTGCACCAATTATGCTGTGATATTGTGAGCTCACAGGAAATGAGCTTGCTTTAAAAACAATTTGTGAAAAGCATATTACCATCCTCAAGAACTCTTCTTAAATACCAATTATATTTGTTTAAACAGTAAGTATTTTTAAACACACATACCACTGCTGCATTTTATGTTAACACCATTTATCTAAAAAAATTTTTTTAAATGAACATGAATTTAAAAGCCCTTCAATATATAGGAGAAAAGACCTCAAAGTAAGTCAAAACCTTAAAGCTTCGAAGGGGCAGAGAGGACTAGATGCAATTCTGAAAACACAGAGTATGAATAAATATTGGTTCTTAAAAGTACTTTTACTAGCCGGGCTCGGTGGCTCAGCCTGTAATCCTGGGCTTTGGGAAGCTGAGGTGAGTGGATTGCCTGAGCCCGTGGGTTTGAGACCCGCCTGGGCAACTAGGTGAGACCTCATCTCTACAATAAATCAAAAACATTAGCCGGGTGTGGTGGCGCACGCCTGTAGTTCCAGCTACTCGGAAGGCTGAGGCGGAAGGATCGCCAGAGCCCAGCAGGTCGAGGCTGCGATGGCCGGGAGTGGCCACTGCACTCCAGTCTGAGCGACAGAGTGAGACTCCAACTCAAAAAAAAAAAAAAGCACTTTTACTGGTATTTAAAATAATTCAGATTTTAACTCTTTTAAAGCAAATATCAATAATTCAGTGGAACTTTGTAGGGCTGATTATTGTGTCACAGATAATGTAGAAATATGAATTAAATCATTCTATTAAGATAGGTAACATTTTAGAGGATGATGTTTTAATATGGATTCCCTTTTTTCTTTATTTTAGGGTGTTCTGTATGAACTAGACAAGGTGAGTCATCCTGTGTTGGGGGGTTTTAAACAATAAAACTGCATTCTGGTGTAGAAGTCAGTGAGAGACTCTCTTAGGGACACTGAAATATGAGAGAACTGATGATTGTTCTAATCCTGGAAAAATGTATGCTTTTGTCTAATAAGGATGATGAATAAGTACTATGATCTATAGATTCAATAAAGGTCACTTTCATAAAAATGCCACTGGGTTATAGCAATTCTCAGTGTTTGGAGAAGTTTAGGAACTTCCCAAAGGTTTGGAGGCCCTTCCCCATGTTGTCTCTGAATATAAACTACCAGACTTCATCAGATCTAATTCATCATTGATTGGAAAATGCACTATTCTTTTATGTACCACTAAGAAAAAAAAATGATTCTAATTAACTCTGACAGTTCCTTCTTTTCACTTAAAATTTGTATTTTATACTCACAGAAAAGTCTCTTAGGCCTATTTAGAGAGAAAACTCTCTTAGGCCTTTTTTCTTTCTTTTTTCTTATTTATGAATGATGCTGTACTTTTTCCATGTACACAATAATTTTATTTCAATGCTGAATCACAGTATATTCTTTTTGAAGACATTTTAAAGGGCAATTAAATTAAATGCATATAATATTTATAACTCAAAGAGATGGCGCATGAACAGCCTTGATTATCTTTAAGCATGTACAGGCAGCTGTTGGCCACTTGGCCAGTTGCAATTGTAAAATGCACCCCAATTTCAGGTACACTAAAATGTGAAGGGGAAAAAAGCCTATCTTAGAAGATAAAATATATTATTATGAAGAAATTTTAAAATACTCCAGTATGATACTGTTCTGCTAGAAATCTAATGAATTCCATTGGATTGGCTTCCCTTGATGTTAAACACAAGGATTCCAATAACTAACTCAAGTTCATTTCTCAGAATATTTGTACAACATTTAAAAAATACTTCCCAGACTCATATTAGAAAATCTCTAAAATAGCATCAAAGATAGAAGGAAAGAGAAAATGCATAGGATTTTCTGGTACTTTTGGGTATGGCATAACAAGGAAAATATTCTCATAAGCCTAAATCATTTGAACTGTAAATGACAGAACTTTTTCAAACTTCTTTTAATTCCAGCAAATTAAAACGATTGAAAGATACATGAGACGCCTGGAGTTTCACATTAGCAAGGTAATTGAAATTCCTGTTGTCATTGCCTGTTTTTCAGCTTTCAGTTGCTAATCGATATACCTTTGGCCTGAGCGTAGTATCTAGTCCATGGAAAATTTCCTATCTAATTGACTCCTAAGATGATTAGCAATTAAGTCCTCAAACAGTCACTAGCGATAGAGGAAAAGCAAAGGTGGGAAGCCTGAGGGTCTAGCACAGTTTGGACTTGACTTCAGTTCTGTAAATATATATTAAGTGCGAAGTGGCATGCATTGTGCCTGTTGGAGGGCTAATAGTCTCAGGGTAATGTGGTTAGAGAAAAGATTAGGTCAAACTAGTCCAACAAAACACTTCATACTTGTCTAACTTTGCACTCTGGTTCTCATCCAACTTGGTGCCCCGTAAATGTCTTCATGAAGGCCTTATAAGTACTGAAAGACGACTGTGCATGTGTCACACTAAATCTTTTTTTTGGTTTGAGTTGTAGTCTCACTCTGTCACCCAGGCTGGAGTGCAGTGGCATGATCACGACAATCATAGCTTATGGCAGCCCTGTCCTTCTGGGCTCAGGCGATCCTTTCCTTGGGATCTCAGCATCCCAAGTAACTGGAACTACAAACATGCGCCACTATGCTTAGCTAATTTTTTGATTTTTTGTAAAGACGAGGTGTTGCTATGTGGCCCAGGCTGGTCTCGAATTCCTGGGCTCAAGCAATCCATCTGCCTCCACCTCCCATAGTACTGGGATTACAGGTGTGAGCCACTGCATCCAGACTTCCCTAAATCTCCCTCATGCTCTTGGTTCCTTCTACTCTTCCTCATATGGCATAGTTTCCAGGTGCCTTTTCATCCCCATTTCTCCTAGACATGTGCTAGTGTGTCAGCATCCCTGACATCCAGCCCTAAACCCTATGAATAGTTCTCTGGTGGGCCAACGAGGCTGGGGGTAGTGGGCCTATCACCCCTTGTTGTGAGTTACTGATGCCACCTAGAGAAGATTTCCTCTTGGGGGCAGCTACATCATACTGTTAGCAATTTCTGTTTCCATGTACACTCTCTTAAGTTCTAATCCCAGCTCTAATTATTTCTGCTACATACTCACTGACTATATCATCTATGTGAACGTTGGCTTTCCACTCTGTAAAATGGGGTGAGGAGGTACATGCATTCAATCTAGATGATCCTAAGAATATTTTCCAGTTTAAGATTTTATGATAAGCCGGGCCCGGTGGCTCAGCCTGTAATCCCGCACCTTTAGGAGGCTGAGGTGAGTGGATTGCCTGAGCCCGTGGGTTCGAGACCCGCCTGGGCAGCGAGACCTCATCTCTACAATAAATCAAAAAATCAGCCGGGTGTCGTAGCGCATGCCTGTAATTCTGGCTACTCAGAAGGCTGAGGCAGAAGGATCACCGGAGCCCAGCGGGTCGAGGCTGCGGTGGCCAGGAGCAGCCACTGCACTCCAGTCTGGGCGACAGAGTGAGACTCCAACTCAAAAAAAAAAAAAAAAAAAATTTTATGATAATGTATACGTATGTGTGCATATGTCCATGCTTCTGTCTTACTATGTTCCCACTGTGAAAGATAGTTATTACCCAGGCAAGTGTGAAATTGCTCCCATTTCTGCCAAACTCAATAAATCAAACAATGACATCCATCAGAAGGAATTATGTGGCAGGCAAACTTTGACAAATTATTCTGTTTAGTTAAAAAAAAAAAAAAAAAAAGCAAGAAAATAATCAGTATTAGGTGAGGGTGTATTGTTCCATCTTATATCCATGGTTGTTAGGAACAACAATCCTAATGGTTTTTTGTTTTTTGTTTTTTGTTTTTTTGAGTTGGAGTCTCACTCTGTCGCCCAGACTGGA